GCTCCCGTGCCTGGGCGCCTGGGCCTGCTCACTCAAGGAGGGACCTTCACCTCAGTGAGGGCCTCCGCGCGTCTCCCCGCAAGCCTAGGTCGCAGGCGCGGGGACCTGGGCAGCTGCGATCTGGGTCCGCGTTTGCTTTTCAACTGCGCTGCTTTTCCGCGCGCGATCCCGATTCCCATCCGCACTTGGTTTTCCAGCGCGCCGCTGTTCCGCGCAATCCTGACCGCGATCCGCGCCTGTTTTTCCAGCGCGCCGCCTTTCCGCGCAAGCTTACCAGGCGGCCCGGGGCTGTGTGCTGGTGCTGGGCTCCTCCCCGGGGGCGGGGTCTCTCTTCAATGGCGCCCGGAGCCGTTCACTCACCGCAGCGGCGGATCCTGCGGGGTTCTCCACAGCTCCCGTTCACGGGGTGTGGTGGCTGCAATAGTTCCTTTCCACTCACAGTCCCGCTTGCTGCGTCGTTTGTTCTTGTTGGTCGTTTTAGTTTGTTCTTTCCCTCCTCTCTGCGGGTCGGAGAGTGCCGCCTCTGTGGGCGGGGGAGGGGAGCAGGGTTCTGCGCTTCCCTCCCTTCTGGTCCTCTTTTATGGCCACTTTCTTCTTCGGGCAGTTCGCTGGCGTCACCCGTTTATCTTCCGTGTCCCAGTTCTCACTGGGACCTGCCGCTTTTCCTCCCTATTCACTTTTTTTAATGGGAGATCTTACTCGCAGCGTCTCCTCGCCGCCATGTTGCTCCGCCCCCGACATTATATTCTAAACAGAAAATCTAAGAGACTCTAAAGACAAGCTATTACAACCGTGAACAGAGTTCTGTAAAGTGGCTGTATACAAAATCAAAATATAAATATAAAACACTAGGAAGAATCAGTAACAAAATATAGTGGAAAATACTCAATTATGAATAGACACAAAACTATAAATTTCTTAGATCTAAATCTAATAAAAGAAGTCTGACTAGGAAGTGTGGGCTCAGCTTAGTACTGTTGTGAGTGTAACTGAAAGGCCTGCATTAGGGAGGGACTCGCGGTGCCATCTAGTGAGGACCAAGACGCAATCAATTCTCTCCAGCCCTGCAAGTGCCAACCAGAGAAATGAAAGCCAGAATGTCCTCACACCACAGTCGTAGTAGCAACACCTGAAACCATCTCCATGGTCACAGATAGAGGGACAGAGAAAGAAATCAGGGAATGGCTATCCAAGGAAGAGCACACAGCAGTTCGAAGGAGCAAACTACAGCAACGCATGAACACAGACAAACCTCAAAAGTGTGATGGTCAGAGAAAAAGGCAGCGCAGAGTAAGTGGCACAGTAGATACCATTAGAAAAAGCTGGAAAACATTGTTTATGGATATATACATAATAGCAGTAGTACAGAAACATCTACGGGCATGATAAATGTCAAATTTAGGACAAGGTTACACAGGGGGGTGGGGGGTGGGACTATGGAAGGAAGTTGCACCAACAAATACAGAAAAATGTTAAGACTTGAAAAAGCTAGAGTGGTTGTTACTTTGACTTTCTTGATTACTAGTGAGTTTGAGCCTCTTTTCCTGCCTCTATTGGCCATATGCATTTCTTCTGTTGGAAATCTTTCTTGACAATCTGCACAGGTCTCATTATTTGGTGGCTATGGTTGACCAGTCAGATTCCCGTCGTCTCCTGTGACCAGGCCAAGGGCTGGATGCAGTGGCGAACATCCTGCCGCATGGGTCTGAGAGATCTTGAAGAAGGCAGACAAACATGAGTGGAACGCACCTAATACAAATTGTGGCGAGTGCTATGAAGGCCACAAGGCACCATGGGTGACTGCGTTTACAGAAAGTGGGCTGAGAAGGCTACTCCGGAGAGCCACACAGAAGCTGAGGCGTCCCTGGGACGACATCTTTGGAGAAGGAACTAACAGTAAGTGGTCCAGTCTCAGACTCTAAGATAAAGTCACAGAGGACCCCTCACCTGAACCCTGAGTTTGTCGAGATGTGTTACCTCCACAGTTGCCTCCTCACGAACGGGCTATAAACCAGCGGCGGGGACACTGCGCTCCCAGGTGGCCACCCGCAGGGCCCACATAGAGCTCTCTAGGTGGAGTCCCCTATCCTGGGACCCTGTGGAGAAGGGGTGTTATGCCTCCTCAGTTGGCCTTACCAGAGCGTTTTCGGGCACACCCAGGACCACATCGTGCAACATGGCTCCACTGCCGAAGTGCTGAGCTATGGACAGCCCACTCAGACAGTAGCAGGTGTGGTAGAAATCCCGCAACCTGTGGGGACAGGATGGCTCTGAGCAGGAGCTCCTCTGCTCCCCCAAACCCCAGCAATGCCCCTACCCACAGACTCAGAGGCCAGGCTGCACTCATACATACCCCTGCCCTCCACGCAGCTTGCTCTAAGAAGCCTGGTTTTCCCCAGTGGCATTTTTTCAAAGCCCCCTCCGTCAGCTCTGTTCCAGAGCAGGGCCAGTCGTTTCAGAGCTGGTCCCTTCCGCTGGCTCCCTAAAGGGCTCTCCAGGGTAGTGCTCGTGCTAAATTAATACCTGTCTCTTGAAAAATACTGACTGTCTATGAATGGGTCAGATTTTCTTGCTGGAGATCAGTCTTTATCTGGGCCTTCTGGATGCTGAAGTAAGAGCAGAGATGTGGGGGGGGGGCATGGTGGAGGAGGCAAGTGGCAAAGGGAGCAGGATTAATTTGATTTCCCTTTTCCTTTTATTATGGCACATAAAGGTACTAATCTACTCTACAACAGTTGTGATTATAATCTCTTTACAGCACTCGGGGATTTTAAATTCCTATATCTGTTCTATTTAAATCCATTTAGAGTTTTTGTTTGTTTTTAAAAAGAAAACATGGAAAGCTACCAACCCAGCAATCTATTTACTTCTCTGGGGAGGGGGGATGCACACGTAACCTAGGAGAAAGGCACCATAGGTGCCTGGGTCAATGGCACTCCTCTCCTGATTAAGGTGCTTGTCCCCATCAAGCAGCTGGATGGATGGATGGAATCGAACACCCCGACTTTTAAACCTACTGAGAGCAGCTATGAGTAGGCCAAGTTGCACACCTGTTTCTGCCTTCCTACCCCTCCCTCCCCAGAGAGAAGTTACTCACTTGCCAGGTTTATCCAGAAGCCCCCCGGCAGGGCACTGGCAGCACATGAGGATGTACTCCTGCAGGGCCTGCTGGTGAAACATCCAGTGGCTCATGCTGAGTGCAGGGTCACCTGTTAAAAGGCAAAGGATCAGTTGCTCAGCCTGGTGAAAGTCCAGCACGGAATCAACAACCTCTTCGTGTTTCATCACCCAATGGTTTCCCTCTATTTGTCTACCTCCTGGAATCATTTTGAAAATTACATTCTCTTTACCCAAGAGCCACGACATGTCCCTTTTCCAGCAACTTGACATGAGTCCAAGAGCAGCAGTTAAACGTGAAGGCCACCCTGTTACCTTGGATGACATCCCAAGCCACATTTCTGGTGGGCACGGACTAGCTGTTAGGCTCAGCTTTTCAGATTGATGTCTGTTCAGCTCCTGACTTGGTCCACAACTCCTTACTCCGTGCTTAGAACATTTCCTCTAGCACGTTTCAGAACCTTGCTAGCTAGACTCTCCTTAGCTAAGAGACTCTTCGGGGAATGTGGTAAGGATATGTTAATGTGTTTCCCCCCCCCCCCCCACCCCCCCGAGTCTGAGTTTATTCTAAATCCAAAGAGAATTCTCCAACTTTTCTCTTGGCTTAAAAATTTTCCTGGGCCTCCCCTGGTGGCGCAGCAGTTGAGCACTGGGTTGCGAGGCTGCCCACAGCCTCTGCAGCGCCAGTTCGATCCCTGGCCACCTGCGAGGGTCCCACAAAAAAAAAAAAAAAAAAAAAAAATTCCTAAGAAGCATTACTAGTAACTGCCCTTCTGGTCTATCTATTGGCCCTGGCAGTTCTGACAATCCCACTAAAGTACTGACAAGCAACAGAGTTTCTTCATTTTGAAGTTCAAGGGTCAAAGATTCTGTGGGTCACACAGTAAGTGGGGAGAAGGGACAAATTGTCAATAGACAGATGTATGCAGAAACATTTACATGGGAACTGATATTTAAAAATACACACATAGGATATGCATTATTCTTTGGTCAATTTTATTCTTTGATATCTGACTCCAAAGATAACCAAACAATCTGTAAAAGGCAATCAAAAGCTAACTTTTCTGTCTTCCATCTTCATTTGTTTCTAGGCATCTTTCTATATAGCTATAATTATTATAATTTTGTATCTTATGTTTTTCATTTAACATTATGGACATAGCTTTTCTGTTCTGCTACATCATCTTCATTCCATCATTCTGAAAAGCCATTCAGGAAGTGGACACACAAGGTAACTGCACCCACATAAGCCCTGGGCCAAAACTCTCATATATAGGAGTACAGAATCTTCTCTGGTAAAAATTTAAGCTTACAATCAATGCAGCAAATAAAAAGGACATATAAGCAAAATATTTAATTGTGGGATATTTCAATAAGAAAAGGACAGAAAGCAGTCATTTAAAAAAAAATTTAAACAAGAGAAACAGATGGGGATGGTCGGAAAGCGAGCATCGTTTTCTGGGTTGAGCATGGATGAGGTACATACAGCACTGGACTGTCATTTGGGGCCGTGCACAAAACCACTCACCTCCAACACCCGAGTCATGCTGGGCCCCTGGGGATCCTCACCGTAGAATGGGCCCCGGGAACTGAGCCCAATGCAAGGAAGGGTAGGTTCAGGTCTCCCGTCTCGGGCGCACTTGGGGACACATGCTTGCTGAAGCATTGGCAGAATTTAACTATTTTCCCTCTTTTTTTTTTTTCCCACTTGTGAGCACAGTTGACTTAGCAGAAAACAGACATAGATCGTGACTGAGATTTACATGATGGGACTTCACCACTTCTTCTATTTCTCTCCAAAGTTACTTCCAATTCCTTACAATTATAAAAAATGCTGCAATAAGCACTTGTGAATCTTCTCTATTTAATTTATTTATTTTTCACATCAGATGGGTAACATGCTGATGGAAGGACCAGGTCTGAGGGAACCGCCTCTCACATGCCAGCAGGAGCAGCCAGTCACCACACTTGGGGGCCACACAAGGTTCTCATCTCTATGCTCAGGATTATTGCCTTCAAATAGGTTCACAGGAATGTGTTACTCAGTTAAAGGGAGTAAATAAACATTTTCTAAGGTTTTCAGTAGACACTGAGAAACTGCTTTATAAGAATTTATATAGCCATCAGAATTTAAAATTTTACTGTATTATATTCCAGCCTGGTCATTTGTTTTGATCTGCATGTCCTTGAAATTTCCCCCCAACTTTTGTTTACTAGTTGCATTTCTTTTTGAGAGCATCTATTTGTCCTTTGTCCTCTGAAATCCAACAGTCAATTTTATTAATCTAGGTTTTGATTCTACTTATCCCCTGTTGGTATCATATGCTACACCTGCTTTCCCCTGTGTTTTCATTCTTTTGTTTTGGTTATGTGATTTTTAAACAGTTATAAATGTACAGTTGACATATAAGCTGTAATCATACCATTGATTTTTGCTTTGTGATTTCTTCTTTAGGAAAGCATATTTCATGGGTTCAGGGTTTTTAGGGGGTGATGAAAATTCCAGAATTGATGGTGGCAAGAGTTGTATAAATCTGTGAATACACTAATAACCACTGAATTATAGACTTTAAATGCATGAATTGTATGGTATGGGAATTATACCTCAAGAAAACTGTTATTTAAAAAAAATTAGGATGACTGCATTAAACAGCCATACAAAATATACCTTTATTTCTTATGCTTTAAGAAATAAGACTATTATTATAAGATAAATGATAACCTAACTCTAAAATTGGAATTCAAAAAGGAAGTCATGTTTATTATTAAGAAGATTATAGAGTATTTGGGTTACCTCCTACATTATTGAAGTTGAAAAACTCAAAGTTCAGAAACTTGACAAGAAATTCCAGAGATCCTGAACTTGCACACCAGCTCATATAATCATAGTGAGATGAAGGAGATGATTATAGGGTGATACCTGTGCACTGGAATCAGTCTTTTAAATCCTTTATACCTCTTCCTTAAATTACAGATCCCCATTATAATGTCATTTTGCATTTTAAAGGTTCCTTTAATCTAAGAAATTGAAAATCTTTCCAAACTGTAACACACAAGTGCAGCCACATGTGGCTCAACATCAGCAGTGGAGAATTCAGGCCTGAGGTGTGTCCCACAGGACCTGCAAGAAACTAGTAACTATCAATCCAAACACAGACTCATGGGTTTGCTGCTTTCTTACTGCTTCAGAAAAATGAAACAACTCACCAATATTCTAAATAAAAATAATTCACTCTTACACTCAAATACTGTCTTCTACACACATGCGTGAGGCAGTCACCTGGTGCATCTGCCACGCCACTTGCTGAGTCAGGGCCCAGCCAGGGTTATTGGGTTGAAGGGCATCAGTCCCTTCTTATGGTCTCAGCACTGCGGTCCTCACCTTGTAAAAATGTATCCATTCACTTACTAAAGTGAAAGCTGTAATGTCCATGGTAAAAAATTTACAAAGCCAGAGTACAGTTCAGAAGGATATAAAATTTAAAAAGTAAGTCTTCTTCTGTCTCCTACCTTTCTCCCAACTGTAGCCACTGTTAAAAGGTTTCCACAGGCTTCCAGGGAAAGCAGTGCAGATGCTGCCTGTGTGCACACACCACTCTCGGCGTGGCCTCTCACACTCCAGGTTGTGCCCCAGAGAGTGTCCCATTTCAGCCCATTGAATGCAGCAATTATAAGGCCAGGTCATGTTTCCCTGATAACCTTTGGAGGCAGTTGGGTCGTCTGCTATGAAAACTCCACTTCAACAGACATCCTTTGAATATATATCTGTAGATAAATTCCTAACAGTGCATTTGATGGATAGAAATAAGTATCTCCAAACTGCCCTCCACTAACAGAGCAGAGTACCAGTTTGCCCACACTCTTCCTAATAGAGGGTATCAGGTTTCAAATCTGCCAGTCTGATAGTAAAAAATGAATAGTGCCCCACTGTTTTATTTGCATTTCTTTAAAGATCATGTTTAGGTTTGATTGATGGCACCTGCAGTGGATACACGCAGGGCTGTGATGCCACTGCAGGCAGCAGTGAGGTATTACAAAGCAAGTCACTTAACCTCACTGTATTGTGTGTTTCCTCACCTGAAAAATAGGAATAACATAGGATTGTTCTGAAGAACATATGAGAGAATATACGTGAATTATTTAGTGTAGTCCTTGGCTTATGGTGAGTGCTTGGCTTATGGTGAGTCTCAGCTGCCAATGATAGTAGCAGTTGTAGTGGAGTTATATACATAACAAATGGAACTACATACACACTGTTTGGAAACCTAACTTTGATAACAGTATATTGTGTCTATCTTTCAATGCTGCAACTTCTTTTGAATCCCAACATTGGCATTTGAGTCCCAGCTTCCCCTCATCCCTGAGCCCTGCCTGGTCCAGTCCAACATGAGCCTTGTCCTAGGCCATGAAAAAAGCAGAAAGCACCAAGATTCCAGGCAACCCTTCCACAAGCAAAGCTCTGAATGTAACTAGTCCTTGTGATACAATAAAATGTCACCCAGGGCCCCCTGAAGATTTTGGCAGGTAGCTCCTGTTATATTTTGTTCCAGATTTTCCTGGCAACTGCAGAATGATCACCTCTTATTTCTGCCAAGGATAGATTGTGAGAGGTTAATGGTTTTAACAGGGGCTCAACCTCACTAGCTCCAAATAAAGAGATCACCAAAACCCCAATTTATTTCTGGTCTGTGAATGTTAAACTCTTGGGGAATTCCCTACTATAGTAGCCAAGTCAGAGACCATGAGGCTCCACAGTCAGGGGACTGATGTTTTAATGCCCTGAGATGAAAGTCCGGACGCCCCAGGCCTGGCCTGGGAGGGACTGGGTGAAGGATCCTCACGGCAGACAGAGGAATTTAGGGAAGAGGCTCTGTTTACTTCAATTCCACACACAAGTGGCCACAACTCAAATGAAGTTAAGAAACTAAAGAAAGAGGATCAAAAAGAACCAACAAGAAGAATCCCCATATATGTATAAATGGGAGACAGGGCTAGTGAAGAATCATGCCTACACTTGAGTAATTAAATCACCCAACTACTAAGTCTAAAGAAAAGATTTGGGCCAAGGGCTCTCACCGCAAGAACAGAGTCAGCACACCACCACCCCCTCCCACCCCCGCCCCGCATCAGGGCAGCTGTGACTTCCCTCTCCCACTGGTTTCCTCAGAGGCACCCTGTTCTCACATAAATGAGAAAAATGATCCAGTTAGCAGGCTATTAACATAGGAAGGCTCCCAGAATTCATGCTTGTCCCACTGCTTTGGGTTTGCATTTACATTTGAGCTCCAGAGAGATGAACACAGGTCTCCCCAATCCAGTAGTGCAGTAGAACCTGCATTTAGGATTCTTCAATGAAGTTAAAATACAACATTCTTAATGGCAGCAACTACGCAGCCAGCCAGACTCTGTCAGCTTCTTCTCCATGGGTTCCTGTTCTCTGCCCCTTTATGCAATTGCCTTTCCTATTACTGTCACCACCATGTGCTTAGTGTGGGGTTTCTGTTCTGACATGACTATCACAGCTTTGGGAAACTGTAGCTTCACCCCAGTTAAGGCACAGTCACCCTGGAAGGCCCCTGTCCCCTCCCAGCCACAGCCAGACTGAAGCAGCAAGACCCCTTATCTGCTGGAACTGAATCCTCTGCCATTCAGGCCCTAAGGCAGAAGCACTCACAACCCAGGACAGACAGACATTTCAACCCTCCTGAAAGGCACTCTGGACTCCAGACTTGGGGAGCCCCAGAGAAATCTCAGTCCCGTGCAGCCCCTAGCTCACCTTGAGTGTGCAGCGCGCGGTGGAGCAAGGGGAGGAGCCCTGCCTGCCAGAAGGAGTAGCAGCCATCCACCAGCTTGTTGCAGCGGCCCTGGAATCCACCTTCAAACCTCATCTGCCGGCTTGTCACCCATTGCTGAGAATGAGACAGAGATAGGAGAGGCAGTTGTAGGCTAAAAGACACAAAAGTCAGCAAGACAAAATCTCCAGAAGCGAGTCTAGAGAAGGTTTTCCCATCTGTCTTTTAGCTTCTTGGCACTTAAGATCTGGGCTGACTGCTTCCTGCCCTTCCCCTCAGGGGAAGGCCACAGACACAGTGGCGTCTTTAAAGAGAACTTCTCAAGGCAGCCAGCATGGATCTCGACTCAGTATTTAACAAACAACTAACCACCTTTTCCTGGGTCCCAAATGGCTTCTGATGCTGAGAATAAAGAAGTCAGTTGGCTTCTTAAGAAGCAAGGTTTAAGTAGGAAATGTAAGATAAGACCACCAGAGGCTCATTTCCAATCGCTTTTCCTCTCAGAGAAGCTTTCTGAAAGAAGGCAAGTAGAATTTTAAGCTACATCTCATCAAGGGATCTCAAACTGTTTCTGACTTTTACTTGGCACCTGAGGAAATTCATCCAAGGTCACTAGCAGGAAGCAGAAGCCATTTGTCCTGATTATCAATGACAGCTCTGTCTGGTCCAGCTTCTGCTTCCCTCTCCAGAGGAAACTGGTTGGCTGAAAGAAGAAAATCTTTTATTTGGAACCTGTAAAATGGCTTCGGTGTCACTCAGTGACCACATGTGATAACCACCCTTCCTCACTTATCTCCAAGTTCTCTAAACACACTCTACTACCAAGATCAAGATAGTCATGGGTTTGGCCCCTAGGAATGTGCAAACCATCTGGCTGAGAAGATAACGACCTTTCTATTTCCCTCTCCGGTCAGCACGTCAGCTTCAGTCACCAGTCCTGGACTTACAGAGCTGCCTGACCAAACTGAAAGGGTACAGAAGAGATATTTCCCTGGACCTGGACTGTCAGTAGTCTGAATGGTCCCTGAAAATAGGCACTAAGGAGGACACTCTGAAGGTGGGTTTGGTGGAGGGCTGCAGGGTAGAAGTTCCAGCCCTCCTTTAAGTTAACAGTTGTAAGTGTATCCTTGTCAAGACAACACCCACTGAGTCACAATTCCAAATTCTTAAAAGAAAGACATAATAAAACTTCATT